CAACAAGCTCAAGCGGATAGCAGCCATCCCAGAGATATAATAAGGAAGACGACCACTTTCTGTACCAACAGCTGAGCAAAGAACGTCAGCCAAGCTCAGGAAAAAGTTTCTCCTTCACATATGCCACATCTTCCCATCTTAATAGTTTATATCTCACAACTTTCCCAATAAATTTTGCCAGAGTTGTTGCACAGACCGCCAAACCACCAAATTTCCTATTGTTGTGCTCCCAGCAAATTTGGTAAATGATAGCATTCAAAATGAGCATTGTTCCATTTTTTATGTTTTTTTTCACCCGGCAAGCCACCAATGTATTCAAACGTCTGAGAAACATTAGGACGTAGGAGGAAGTTTTGACATTGAGGGAGAAGGCGGAGCAACACAGAGAAGAAAAACTCACATTCAAAAAAAATATGAAAAAAAAGATTCATTGCAAGTAAAGCAGAAGGAGCATAATTTATCCAACTAAGGCTCTGGGCCAGCTTAGCTAACATCTTTTTGTCTACCTGGATTGAAAGTGTCATGCCTCCCTTCTCCTTTTGGCGATGTGATATTATAGAAGTAACATATAATTACATTCTTTTCATATCTTATATGATATGTCAACTCTCCTTCTGTCTTGGTTGTCACTGGGCTCTAAACTTGGTGGCCGTTCTCTCAGCTACAAGCCTTCAACATCTAGATGGGCTAGAGAAGATGTGGCACATTATTAAAATTACCACTATGTATTCCATATAGATAAATTTTCCTAAACTTCGGTGGCAGGTCCCTACACCAACTTAGGTTACTTGATGATGTCCTAGTTCTATTCATAAGAACCTTAAATTACTTGGACTTCGTTTGGGATAATTTTTTTACTGTTTTTTAAAGCAACTTTCTAGTACAAAAATTTCTAATTTTAGAAATTTTTGTACTAGAAAGTTACTTTAAAAACAGTAAGAAAGTCATCCCAAACGAAACCTTAATGTCGCTTAACACCTCATGGTTATGTAAGATGCAATACATTGGATTTCAATAGCCTTACAAAATAAGCCCATCATTCTAAGCCAACTTCTTGATGTCTTTCATTGATTTACGTTTCATTTGGGATTGCTTTTTTACTGTTTTTTAAAATAGTTTTTTTGCATGAATTTTTTTTGAACTTAAAATTTATGTACTAAAAAGTTGATTTAGAAAGCAGTAAGAAAATCGTCCCAAACAAAACTTTGATGTGTCTAAGTTCTATAATGATGTTTAGGGTTTTCATCACCGGTCTAATATTCATATTTCATACCCATTGGTTATAGCATGTGCCCATGCACGCCTTTCATTTCAAGTGTTGCACGACTTTACACCCATGTGTAAACTTGATAGCACCAAAGTCACCGACTCTCTAACCATGACTTAGATCTTATACAAAACCTATTCAGTTAAAGTCAACTAACTCTTTAGAGCCGTCTAATTGAAAACTTCAGACATTAATTATATGATCAAATAATTATTAAATTTGACATACATATAGTAGAATCGAACGGTTCGACAAGAAAAAATCCAATGAGCCCAAAATCACTTACTTCTGACATCATTAAGGCAATTGTTAAGCAAACATTTACAATTCAGATAATCATATGAACCGTACGATGGTGGATTATGACTAAATTAATCAAAGTTCTCATGTCAAAAAGCCTATAGATATATTTTCATTCTTTATAGAAAGAGAAGTCCAAGAGCCGTGAGAATTAAAGAGTTTTCTAGCATTTTCTTGCTATCACTGTTGACAATAACCACCAGCTCTTATCGTCGAAGCTCATCGCTACCTATGATCACCAGCGATGACCATCACCATCAACCATCATGTTCTTCAAACTCTTGCTAAGATCTAAACCTACTGTTGGTTTTAATTGTCCGCTTATGGAAGCTAGATTTTTATAATACTTCTTCAGAAAAAAATTGAAGTTTGTTCTTGAATAATCATCTCCTCTTCAATTGTGAGAAATGAAAGAATTCGTGTATCTTTTGCTATATAGTAAATTTTCGAAGTGGATTAGACTCATAATTTTTTTCCCTTTCTAAGCTTTCCACTAACCTCTTAACAAAATCTGGATTGTGGTGGCTACGACGTTGAGTTCATTGGATCCTGGTTGATGGCTACAGTTCCTGAGCGTGGATGCAAAGATTTATGTTGTTATATTGGATGACTAAGGTTTTATTTGGGACAATTTTCTTCCTGCTTCTTAAAGCAGCTTTTTATTACAAAAATTAAAAAATTTGTACTATAAAATCATTTTAAGAAGCAGTAAGAAAGCCGTCCCAAACGAAGCCTAAGTGATTTAATGTATTGGAAGAGTTGCAAGATGGTGCGCAAGACACAGCTGGAGGTGGCATGGAATTGGTGATATTTGTAAATAGAAGAGGGCAAAAGATGTTGTGATTGGATCAAGGAAATCAGTTCCTTGATTCATCTAAATGCGATGGGATGGAGATGGCGGTCTTAGGCTTCCTTTGTGACGGCTTTCTTAATGCTTCAGAAAGCAGCTTTTTAGTATAAAAATATAATTTTTATACTAAAACTCTATTTTACGAAGCAATGATTTTCTTATTGTTTTTAAAGCAGTTTTTTAGTTTTTTTTTTTAAAAATTTTTATACTACAAAGCTATTTTATGAAGTAATAAGAAAACTATCTCAAACAAAGCCTTAATCGACAATAGTAATATTGAAGAATGCCAGAAGAAGCTGTGATTAGAGGTGGCAGCAATGCCTTGGGTGATGTTGATTGGAGATAGAGTCAGCGATCTTTTAAGCCGAAAATTTGAGATGGAAGGCGCGAAGAATCTGGGTTGCGAGAATGGAACGGTATAAAAAAGGCTCGATGAAATCACATAACTATGGATGTGGGAGCGGAGCTTGGTTGAGCGAAATAATATAGCAGGTTTGTGGGTGAAATTATTTTGTGCGCAGACGGATGCTGTTCGAAGGCGAATCAAAACTCGTCACATCACCCATTTGCAGTGTACAGTTATGTACTGTGTAACGTGGCGTGTTCTGATTCGCCTCTGCATAGTTCGGTGTCCGCACATAATAAATTCTCTGGTTGTGGGAGGAGGATTAGCAGAAGTGGAAGCTAACTCAAGTTCGACTCGATAAATGACTTGTGAGTAGAATTCGATAAACTAACGTTATAAATTTGTGCTAGCACTGATTTGACTCGTCCACTCACGAGTCGGCTTGTTTAAAAAATATTAATATAAAAATGTTTAAAATATTTAAATATAATATCTTACTTTTTTAGATACGTGATTGTTTATTAATTTTTCTTCTAATTTATAATAATAATAATTATTAATTTATTAAAATAATTGTTTGAATTATAATCTTTTTTTTTTTAAATAAACAAGTTGTATGATCAGCCGACTTGAACTCGTAAAATAAAGCTCGGACTCTATTAGCTAATCAAGCTCAAATCAAGAGGGACTTAAGCTCAGCTCTACTTGTTTACACTCCTAATGCGGAGTTACTTGGATGGGATTATGTTGAGAATAGAGTGAAATCTGATGAAAAATCAACAGGGGTAATAAAATGAAATTATTAAGAATAATAGCAATGATGGGAACGTGATCCTACTTTAGATCATTTTGAACTACTCTAAACTCACAGAATAAAAAGAGAAAATATAAGATGGGAAATATTCATTTATTTTTCTTATATCTCCACTCCCTAATTGGGACTATTTACAGACTTACAAAGACCTATTTAAATTAATTATTCAATTCAGTACCACATTTAGTCAATAAATTAATTACAGTTAGATTCACAGCGCATTATCGTTACCATAATAATAATTTGATATGAAATAGAGTTTCAGTTATTTCTCTCACTAAAAAAAGATATATTTATCTAAATATTGGTATTTTGAAAAATATAAAATTAATATTTATATATAATAAGTTTGTATAATCAATATGATTTGAGGTTCTTTGCTTAGAAAATATTCCATCTTAAAATGAAATAAAAACACACAACATTACAACACTCATTAGTTTGTTGGTTGAGAGTTTTGATCATCAACTAAATAGTTGTATGATATGTGTGAATTTTATTTAATTGGCCTAAAAGTAAAAAAAAAAAGAAAAAAGTAAAAATGATGGCATATTGATTTAAGAATATTGAAAAAATATAAATTCCCAATAGATAAGTTCTGAACTCCTCTTTCTGAGAAATTATTCCATGTGGCATCTGAACGTTAAGAATAAACTAGATTGCGAGTGTACATATTATATGTACACAATATTTACATTAATTTGATATATACTATATACAAATATGCACAAAATATCTATACTCACATATCCAAATGATTTTCTCATTTGGATGCCGTACAAAATAATTTCTCCCTCTACGAGTCGTCCTCCTACGTCGTTAACCTCAATCATAGAGCTGTCAAAATTGGATCATAGGTCTAGTTTGGGTCCAACCCGGAACTGACCCAATACTATTTGACCTGACCCGTCGGTGTTTTTGGACCCGAACCCAACCCGCATTGGGTTTGGGTTGACTCGAACCTGACCCGCCAAGTGCCAACAGGGTTCGTGAGTCGCCGGCTGCTTTGCTTTTCAACTCGGCGTCACGGACGACATTCCCTTACGATCGGATGAGAAGTTACAACATTTTGATCGGAAGCAACGATAGGAGTTCGCTCGCTATGAAGTTGCCTTTCTTCATTTCGTGCGCTTCTTCGGCCAAATCCCGTAAATTAGTTTGAAATCGGGTCAAAACCAAGTCGAGTTTAAGTTGAAGTCATTATCAGGTTTTCGAGTCAACCCGAACCCTATCTGAAATTCGAAATGGGTCAAAAATTAGATCCCAAATCCAAATTTTTCATGTGGGATTCGAGTTGAATTTTTAGGTTTTGTCAAATAGTGACTCCCCTACTCCATCACCACAGTTTCCATTTATAAAATAAAATATAAAATATAAAATAGCTAAAACTAAAAAACATGCTAAAATATATTAATAAATATCTTTTTCTTCGGTGATGCCCCGTCAATCCCCAAGAGGCCGTCGGCCGATTTTTTCTCCCCTTTCTTCCCGATCCACCCCATAATACCGCCGCCGATCACAAATCCCTAAAAGATCGTCCGCAGGATCTGTTCGGCGCCGTCCATGGACGACGAGTACGACGTATCGTCCCGCTCTCCTTCCCCTTCTTCTTCATCCCCCTTGCCTTTACCGCTCCCCATCTCTATCGCACGGCCATCCTCCACCCCGCCGACAAACTCCCAGCCGTCAAATCCAGTCACCGTTGCCTCGTCCTCTCCCCATCAAATCCTCACCCTCGCCCTCCCCATCCAGCCCCCGCTGGGGTCTGCTGGCGGCGGCGGCGGCCGCGACGATTGCTGGAGCGAAGGCGCGACCTCAGTGCTCATCGATGCGTGGGGCGAGCGATACATCGAACTCAGCCGCGGAAACCTCCGGCAGAAGCAATGGCAAGAGGTAGCCGATGTCGTGAGCAGCCGCGACGATTACTCCAAAACCCCTAAAACCGACGCGCAGTGCAAAAATCGCATCGATACCTTGAAGAAGAAGTACAAGGTGGAGAGATCGAAGATAGGGACTTCGTCTTGGCCCTTCTTCCACCGCCTTGATCTTCTCCTCGGCCCAACACTGAAACCGTCGCCTTCTCCCGCCACCATCCCCAAAAAGCAAAGGACGAATTTGTCTGCGAAACGGAAGGTTTCAACTCCGGCGGCCTCGCCTTCGTCTACCTCCGACAGCTTACCCCCTGCGGCAAATGGAGGGCGGAAAGCGCTGCCCGCGGAGAAGATGCGGGAGCTCACACGGGCGATTCTGAGGTTTGCGGAGGTGTACCAGAGGGTGGAGAGCTCGAAGCTGCAACAATCAATGGAGATGGAGCGTCAGCGGATGGAGTTCTCGAGGGAACTGGAGGAACAGCGCATGCATTTCTTTATGAAGACACAGATCGAGCTCTCCCAGCTGAAGCGCCACCGTCGCCCTTCCTCTGGATCTGGCGGCGGTGGCAATAACCACCGCCGCCGCCATGGACACCAAACTCCGGCCAACCGTAATAATGACGGGAATCAGAGCTTTGGGGGCGGATTGATGTGAATCTGGGAGTGGAAGGTCTCTTCTTCGATGAATGTCTTTTGTTTTAAGCTGGTTGTTGTAAAATTATCCCCTTTCTTCTTGATTTAGCTAAAGCTCAGTGCTTTGTATGTATTGTTCTGGTGAAGATCTGATCTTCTATATTAGTGGATGAATCTCTTTAAATGCTCTTTGCTCTTCTGCTGAAAATTCATGATTTCTCCTCTGACAGAGATAAATTGGTGCAGGGCGGCCTATGAGACGCCATTTGCTTTGATTAAAATAGAGTAGGAAAAGGAAAAGGGTCAGAAATCTAATCATATTTTGGTTAGAAGAAACTTTAATTTAAATTATTTTGAGAATATGTAATTAAATTTTTTATTTATTATATTTATCTTAAAATAATTTTGATAGTCTTAAGATCATGATTAAAATATAATTAGTCAAATTTTATTCAAAAATAATAATGAGGGTCTCCCGAATTATTTTCTACGGGATTTATTATGAAATAAAAACAATCCTGATATATTTTGTGTAAATGTGATTATATTTATTACATGTTTCTTTTAATCTAGTGTTTCATGCTATTCTTTAATAGAATTGTACTATTAAATAATTTAATTAAATTATTAGATAAGAATAGTTAAAATATTATATATTTATAGATAATATTATATTATAAATTTTTTGAGAATATTTACTGATATAATATAATTATTATTAGCTAAGTTGTATTAATACACGTGTAATAAAATTAACAATTGATAGAGAAAAAAATTGATGAGGATAATGTTAAGCGTAAACTTCATACTGTTTTTTATCTTTAAATTCAGTAAAAATGCGATGCAAGAAATACTCAAAAAAAGAAGAAAAAGTTTACAAGTGTTGAACTAGCAACGCAACGCTCTAACTATCGGCGTCAAATCGTCTACAGGCATCGGGGCCAGATCAGGAAATTGCAGCACTAGAGACCCGAGAAAAATGAAAATTAATTTAATGCCCAAGCGTGTCAAGGTCAGTGTCTTGGACACAGCAGCACATGAGTCTTAGGAATTTGAGCGTCGGAGCACTAAACATTAAAACGCCGCAACATTATATTGCTCATTCAAGCGTCATAGTGCTCAACTTTAGCAGCGTCGAGGCAGAGAGGTTGATGAAAGATGGAGTCATACCAAATCAGCTGAGAAACACACCAATTCAGCCAATATATGCGTTGAATTAGTGCAGCGCCGCAACAGAGCAAGCCCAATAGCATCGATGCACTAATTCATCTTAAAATGTTGCAGCGCCACCATTTCAAGTGTCGACATGCTTGAAGTCATTGTTGCACTTACTATAAATAGTTTTTTTGTCACTTTCAGTAGAGTCATGTATTTTTCAGTATAGTTCTTTAGTGCCCCTTAAAATGAAGTCTAAGAGAAGCTAAAGAAATGCAAGATACTTTCATTAGACATCTTAGTCTATCTTGTGTAAGCAATCCTACCATTGGAGGAGGAAGGGGTGTGGAGAAGTTCATTTGTATTATTTTTGTGATTTTTTTTTCTTATTGTTTCTACTGTATGTTTTCTTCTATGATTGAAATGAGGATGCATTTGTTTTTTGTTTTTATATGTCTTGCTAATTTTTGAGTTTTGAGCTAATGATACGAGTACAATGCAATTACTAATATAGACTCTTGTGCCTTAAATGAATCATTAATATTTTAAATATCTCTCGTTCTTAATTTAATGCATACAATGACCATATATGTAGTTGATATCTAGTGTAATATACTACCTCCATAGAGGAATATCGAATAATTAAGAGTATTGGAATGAAATGTTGGCATGCCTAAACATAAGATGTTAAACCTTCTATGTTCTATGGAGATATTAGTATTGTAGGAAGGTCATAAACCTCTCACCCTTATAAGCTCCACAGATATTTAGGAACGCATATGCTTTGATCCACATCAATAATTAAGAGTCTCATTAGAAAAACTTTGTTATTTTAAAGGTATTTTATATATTGATAATTTATCATCTTTTGCATTTTCTGAAATTGAGAGAAATTCAAAACCCTTTATTTTTGTTTAGTAGAATAAACCTTGCATATGTAATAAAAAGTTTGATTCCAACATAGCAGAACACTTTTTCGTGGGATCGACACTCTCTCAATCACTTTATTACTTGATCGACATATATACTTGCGTATCTAATGGATAATCTATATCAAAGAAAACCTAAGCATTAATTAACCCCAAGGCATATTTTATTTCATGCACCCAATCAACTATTCATGTGTTTGTGCCCATACATCATGAACAAATTCATTAGTTAAAAAAAATCATAAATATTGTTTTATAGATATTTATAATTCTAAAGTCTAAAATTCTAGAGGCACATAGTTTGAAAATTTTCTTGAAAATTATATTTAAGCAAGTAAAAAAAATATGATATATAAATATATCTTAATATTCTAGAGGGAGTATCTGCCCTCTCATTTCTTTCGTTCAAGCATCTCTTGAAAATAGCTCCATCGTAATACAAAATATATTATTGATTTGGGGAGATGATTGGAAATAAAAAAAAAGGAAAGAAATAAAGAGGAGGGAGACAGGTGGGAGAGGAGCTCACTAGATTGAGAGGGAGTGAAGGCTTTGAGAAGAATTTCCAGCAAAGAGCCACGGGCTCATATTTCCTAATTCTCAACTCTAGTATTAGGAAATAACATTAATTGCCTAGGTATGCAGGAAAGCCGTGAGAGTGGGATGAGGGAACTACCTGAGGAGAGAGGGAAGCCATTTCAGTTTTCATATTTTGAAATCTGAAAATTAAAACTGAAGAAATATGGAATTAATTATGTGAGAGGAGGCATTTAAAGGTGGTGATGTGGCAATTAAATAGAAAACAATAAGGTGAAGGCCGGCCAAGCATAGAGAGGGAGAAAATGTTTAACTTAAGTAGGTGGGGACCACTTGGATAACAAAGCTTTAAATAAAAAATCTGAAATATATTTCAGGTTTTTAAGCTAGGGAAGTTTCTTAATAAGAGGGTATTAATTAAGACCAATTTGAATTCAAATTCAAATTGAAATCTAATTAATTTGGAGACCTCAAATTAAGGAGCTAAATTAGTAAAGTATCAAAGCTTCATGAGAGTTTTGAATTTCAAATTCAAAACTCTAAGAGGGGCCGACGGGTGGAGTGGTGGGGAAAGAAAATTGGGGAAGAGGGAGCGGCGGCTTGGACAAATTTTCAGGTGGTGGTGGCCGACGGCAAGGGGCTTGGGGAAGAGGAAGGCGGCGGCCAGAGAATTGGGGAGAAAGCTTTGAGTAATTCAAAGGGGATTCAAACCTCATGCATCTCTTCCCATTCCACTCTCCACAATTGCTTCAATCCAATCTCCACGACGACGAATCGAACACGAGAAATAAAGAACGAAAATTTGTAGAACAAGAAAACCTAGAACTCACAAAGAGATCTAGCTTCTCCTACGAACTCACTAAGAGATCGTGGAGGTTTGCACTCACAAAGAGAACATGAAATATCAAATTTTCATTCATAAAAAACTAAACTATTACATGAGAAAATTGCCATATAAATAGGCCTCAAAATGACAAAGAAAGTAAACTAAAATGCCCCTTGGGCTACAATAGCTACCAAATACCCATAAGGGCAAAAACGAAAAAACATAAAATAAAAATAAATTACTACATAAAATGATGAAAATACAGATCATGATCGTGGCCGTCGATCTCCGGCATCTCCTGGAGGTACATGTGTCGAAATCGCTGTTGATGTCCCCATCATTTCCAAGTGTCTTATATATCTTAATATTTAGAGTATGTGCCCTCTCATTTCTTTTGTTCAATCCTCTCTTGAAAATAGCTCCATCATAATACAAAATATATTCGAATATCTTAGCAAAATAGAATACACATTTAGAAAATTTATACTCAAATTACTTGTGAAAATGAAAACAACCCATCATTTCCAAGTGTATTATGTTAGATTTTTCTCCTCAGGATAATTTTTATTTTTCACTTATTTGATGTTATTATCTATAAATGAAATATCAAAATTGTACAACCTATTTAACATCATTACACTTATTGAAAAGCATAATTATTGGAAATATAATGATCAATTTAATGATAAGAAATTTCAGTTGGAAGTACTCTTATTATATGATAATATAATAATCATTTTAAAATATAGAGATTTTTAAATGGCTTAAATATATGAGAGAGATTTCGATCATCTTAATTTTGAACAATACCCTACATATTAGTATAAAAGCGAGCATGTGATATAAAATAATTATATTTTTAGATGATTTTGAAAAAGAAAAAAAATCACATTATCTAGAATGGTTGAAACAAATTTCACTGATAATAAATATGAGTTATTCGAGGTTACCTTTCCTTCTTAATACTTAAAATTCAAAAAAGCAAGGAATGATCACCAGTGTTGAGGCTCAAGAGCAGATCCTAATATGTTTCTAATTAGAATACATATTTTAGAAAGAAATGAAGTATGATTATTTGTTATATAAATAAAGGATTAGGCAAAATATGTGATGATATGTGAAGCACTTAAGGTTAACATGTGTAGTTTCATTAAAAAGTTACTATTAAAAATGCTTCTAATGGAGCATTTTTTAAATGTGTGACCTCTTGAAATTTACACTAAGAAAAATAAAACCTTGAGATTTACTTTAAGATAAGATGGACTGGGCCAAATCAAAAATAACTTGCAGAATGTACTGTAGGTTATCATAATTGGTATCAGAGTTAGGCCTCATTTATTATAACATATAGTTTAGAGATGAACCCAACAAATGCTAACATGCATGTAATATCTCAAATTTAAAAAGGACAATTCGAAGAGGAAGAGTGATTGTCGTGGCCAAAGGTTGGAGAGGGAGAGGCTCCTAGCAAACTTCTAGGAGGAAAAGAGGAGCAAGAGTGAACCAAATTGAAAAAAAAAATGAGTGAACAAAATTGGAGATCTAAAGATGAGAAAAGGATGCTAGCTATATAAGTAAAGGGTTATATCAAATATTTGATAATTTATTTGGAGTCATGGATGGAGTTTCAATAAAAACCTCATAATTAAGTGTGTTAATAATGAAGCCTTCTTAGGATGGACGATCTCTTAGAAATTAATTCTAAGAATGATAAAATTCCGAGATTCAACCTAATGTGAGAT